CCGCCCCGCCAAACCCCCGAGAGAAGGCGCCGGGCAGCAGCGCCCCTAGTCCCAGCACCTCTGTGTGGCCGCGCAGGGCCAGGAACCCCGGGCTGGGCTGGGCCCAGGAGGAAGTGACTGGAGCCTCCCCACCCTACGCCCTCTGCCGGGGCCCCTCGCGGGGCGATGCACCGGGACACGGGGAGAGGGTGAAGGGGGGATGGACACAGACACGGGGAGAGGGTGAAGGGGGGATGGACACGGGGACACGGGGAGAGGGCGAAGGGGGGGAGGATGGACACGGGGACACGGGGAGAGGGTGAAGGGGGGGGGAGGTTGGACACGGGGACAGTAGGAGATGGTGTAGGGCAGGAAGACCAAAGATGTCTGGGTCAATTTATGGAAGGAACATTTTGGTAGGTTTGTTTCTTCACATTCTTTGCTGGGATTGAAGAGTGTTCCCGCCCCACCTTTTTGTCTGGCCCCTGTGCTTTTGTTTCCTTTCATGATGCCTCACACATAGTCATTACTTACTTCAGAGAGTTCACATCAGAGTCTAGAATGAAAAGGCAATATCAGCTCATGCCTCAATCAAGGAGAAACCAGCCCTTGTTTTTAGTCTCAATTTTTGGATTTATAGTCTTTCAGTTTGACATTGTAAATAAAAAACAATCCTTCCTTCTGCAGTGCTTTGTTAGTATAATAAAAGTCATATGCATCACCGTAGTTTGTAAAATGATTTAACAAACTATACACAGCACCATACATGATGAAAGTAATTCATCCACCACTGAAGTGTATTTGAGGGGAAGGGATTACTTTTGGCCCTTTACTCTAGGGCAAACCTTACAAAAAGTATCATGGGATTGTTAATGACTTTGGGGAGCAGACATTTGGTTTTACCACAGCAGAAATGCATTCACAGTAAGCTGTTTGCAACTCTATCTACCTTGGACAGCAAACAAACAAATTGATCCTCTTGGGATCTGACTTTGTGTTTCCAAAGGATCTAAGTAGTTGGAATCTAATGTTTTGACCAGTTAGCTGTTCCCTCTGCTTGTACAATTTATTATACTTCAGTTTCAAATATAGCTAGTCACCACTGCCAAGAAAAAGTAATCAGTGTGATATTAAATTAAGTGATAATGTTCATACTATTTCAGTATAGAAGGCATTAACAGATGCTATGGTTAATGGACCACAAGTATGATTTATAACAAGAATATTCAAACATCATGAATGCTAACCTCATCATATCCCAAGATAAATCAGAAATACAATTTATTTGCTGCATTAGTCTCAATAGTTTTATGTATTTTAATCTTTAGTCCGCATTTTGCCCCCTACTAATAGTAGTTGTTATTCAAAATTTGCGAATTCTACATATTGTATTTGAAATAATCAAATTTCAGTAGCAAACAATGTAATGTTTGTTGTTAATTATGAAAAACGGTATAATCAATAGAGCAGTGCTACAGAAATATTTGCTGTTAATTGCTGTGATGAGGAATTGGAAATTATTGTTATATGTATGTCTAAGCAACCTATTACTATTAGATGTAGGCACCATACATAAATTAAGAAATAACATCAACTTTCTTTCAGAATAAATAATTGATTTTTTCCCCTCTTTCCATTCAGTTATATGGGGCTAATAAATGAGTAGTTAGTTACATCTATATGGTTCATTTGGCCCTGTAGTTAGAGCCACTTCATGCATAAATCTTACGGGAATGCATACCAAAAGGGAGAGGTCTTGCATCATGACCTGAAAGTGTAAGACTTGGTCTCATCCTGATTTCTGCTGGTAACAGATTCCACAGCTGAGAGCCTTCTATTTACTGATCATTCGCTGGCAAATTATCACTGGTTGTATCAGCCAGTGTTCCTGTAGAAAGAAGGTATTATGTGAATCGAAGAGGGCCTTTGAAGTAGGTTGGCCCTCACTTAAACACACAGGGCTTTAAAGATAAGGACTTTAATAATAACCAGAATTATCCAGAGTAGAGCACAGTGTATTGTGATGTACTTGCAGTGGTCTGCTTAGCAGACTAGCTGCTGCATGTTGTGGTATCTCTAGTTTGTGGGTAGACCTTTGTCTCAGGTAATTTGGTAGAGTGATTTGCAATAATCCAGTCTCAAAATAGTTACTGTGGCTACTTCCACATGTTGTAATGTAACAATACTTAGCTATTATGCATTAATTTTCATCTGTACTTAGGCCTTATCTACATGTACTAGGAGATCAGTGCTGTGGGGATCAGTTTCCTGGGAGGGTCAAGTTCATGGGTCTAGTAAAGACCCGCTAAATTGACTGTTGACTGTGCTCCCATCGACTCCGATATTCCACTAGGTAGAGAAGAGTAAATGGAGTCAACCGAAGAGTTTCTTCCATTGACCCCTTGCAATGGGGACACTGCAAGAATTCGAACTAAAGAACCTTGACTCCAGCTACACTATTCATATAGCTGGAGTTGCATACCTTAGTTTGACATTGCCCCTTGGGTAGACTTGGCCTTTGTCTTTTCTGCAAAACACTTTCCTAGACCCTCTAAATAGACCTCTGGAAGATTGATCCTCGCAGCATCAATCTCCCGGTAAGTGTAGACAAGGTATTTGAGTTGTATGATTATTATTCCTACCTTATAGATAAGGAAACTCAAGCACAGACAGACTAAGCAAATTTGCCTAAAGTGGTACAGCAGGTCATAAGCAGAGGTGAGAACAGAACTCAGGAAGCCTAACTGCTGACCAGTACTATCACATAGAGAAAGTTACATGGAAAGGGTCTTGCTATTGTCTTGGCCAACTAACAGATTTACAGACATTCAGTCTGATTTTCTAATATGTCTAATTGAGTTAGGTACCAAACTCTGAAAATCAATTAGCGATAGACATTTGACTTGTTTTTGGAGCATTTGTGAAAATCCCTCAGTGATGGAGTTTAACCCCCATCACCTGCAAGGCAAGGAAAAGAACTTAGTCATGCTTTGCAGCTGGGAGGTGATTAATTACTTGCCTTCTGACAAAGGAGGAGGAGCTGGGCCTTTTAAGTAGATTGAGGGAGTGACATGATGTAGAGAAGAGCAGTCTCTGATGAGAGAATTTTGAAGTAGGGTAGAACAAAGAAAATGGTGGAGAAAGCA